TTTCAGCGGTGTTGACACCTAAATTATTTTAGATTGAATTAAATGCCGCGTTAATGAGTCTTGGCATTTAATTCGATGTCGCATGACAAAAAACGGTGTCGTTGAAAGACAAACAATGCCGCGGTACTTGAAACGTCATTGTTTAGTAGAAAACAATGTCGTGAGCGGCTTTGAATGTTGGTATTGGGGTTGGAAAAGGAGTGTTGTTTATTCCTTGTCGGAGAAGGATAAAAAAAACCCTGCACCGTTTAGAGTCAAGCGATGTCGTGAAGAGGTAAAACGGCATCGTGAATCTCAACAACATCGCGGGGCTAAAAAACAATGTTGTTTAACTAAGAACAGCGCCAAGAGGTTACCGGGACTAGAAAACGAGTCAACAGTGATGGACGGTTTAATTAATTAATATTTTTATGATTATTTTGGACGGTGTCGTTTAGTTAAAAACGACGCTGCAAGAGGTATCAACAACACCGCGGATTAGAAAACGACAGTGTTTAATATAAAACAATGTCGCGAAGAAAAAACAAACGGAGCAGTTTGGGGAAGAAAACGATATCGTGAGTTTGAAAACTACATCGCGTGAGGTATCAGCAATACCCCAGTGGGGAGACAACGTCGCGAGCTAAACAACATTGTGGTGGAAAGCGATGTCGCGTTCGCGAATCCAACGACTTTGTGAGTTCGGCAATGCCGTGAAGTTCAACGATGTCGCAAGGCCAAAAAAAAACTTCGCGGAGTTCAACGAGGCCGTGAGTTTTCAACTTTGTGTGGTCAACGACGTCGAGAGATCAACAATCTAGCGGCGAGTACGAGGTGGCGAGGGTGAAATAACAATGTTTTTTTAATCGATGGTGGTATCGTGATTCGAACCATGGTACAAAGTTGACGTGTGTGCACATGATTTTCACACAAGCAAGATTGGAGAACGGATGCGAGACAGTTGAAGACTACAACTTCGTGAAGAAGGATGTATCACGTGGGAGCAAAAGGCGAAGCGATTTCAGAGCGTGAAGACTACGGAAGTGATTTGATAAAATCAACCGTGCAAGGAGAGAGAGAGGACAACCAAAAATCAACACAGATCAACTCTGTTCAAACTTTACCTTTTCTCTGTAACTCATTGACGGAGCTCTCCTTCCAGGAAGGATCTCCATAGTTGTAGTCTTAGTCGTAGTCGCGGAGCTCTCCACATGAATCTCCATAGGAGTAGCGGTAGCGTAGATTCCTCAAAAAACTCAAACACCCTCGTTCGAACGTAGTATGGAGAGGTGCGAACCGTAGTAACGGTCGCGTTGGTTAGAAGTCAGAGGTGCATCGATCAGATCAACATCGCCTGGCAGTGGATATTTGACGGTCACGTTGATTTCACCATTCAGAGGTGCATCGATCAAATCAACATCGCACGACGGTGGATATTTGACGATCGTCATCGTTTTCAGAAGTCAGTTGCACCGATCAAATCAACACCGCCCGGTGGATATTTGACGATCGTCTCGATTTCAGCAATCAGCGGTGCTTCCGATCAAACGGCACCGCAAGAGTTTCCACCACGAAACATCGAATCAACATCGCCGGAAACCAAGTTCGGCACCAGTGGTGGGTATTTGGTTTCGCAAGGAAACAAATATATTATTATTTTAGCATTATTTTAACAACGATGACATATCAACATATTACCAATTAAATCATTATTTTACTACCAAACATCATTCCTTAACTATATACAGCCACAATTTCCGTTATGATTTTACAGACCATGGTTACTCACTTACTCTCACTCCGGTCTGGACAATTGGTAACCATTGTAGCCTGCAAACAGTGGGCTTGAAGCAAGTGCCGGCCGATTGGAAGGATTGGACTGCAATCGAACCCGTTACCAGTAGGCGTAGTCCAGATTCGTCTGTAGCTGGGCTTCTGTCACTACGGTGCCCTTAGGGCCCCGACAAAGACACCCAAAACATAGATTATGTTTTAGAGGCTCAGATGTGGACTAATATGAAGGAAACCCACTGATTCGTGATTCCATCAAAATCTCATCAAATGTGCCGTCTGGTTTAGTAAATCAGAGACAGCGACACTATGTATTAGCCTTCAAAATGCCATGAAATCCCTCCAATCTCCTATGCTTCTCCTCCTATTTGCATGCTATATCCTACCAAAAGAAAATTTTAGATACTTATGAACCAAAAAGTTTGTATTCATTTTTGTGTTTGATTACCTCCCCATTAGCTTATCACGCATCAATCTTTTGGACTTTGCAAGCTCAAGCACAACATAAAATCATTCTCGATCGTAATCTATAAGTAGGGTGGTTTCTACCGTGCACTAACAAAAATTAGCGCATACTATGTACCTAACTCTAGTAGTAGTGTTAAAATACCGAATTTTGAATGTTAATTTGTAACGTTAGTCTGATACGATAATATAGCATAGAATAACAACTAATCATTGCATTAGCCTTGGCCCTAAACCTTCAATTTAGGTCCATAGCCCTAATCCCAAAGTGTAAACCCTGGACCCTAAGTCTAAATCATTAAATCTTCAATCATTCAAATTAAAGTAAATCTTAAATGATTTTTGTGAAAATTTATATGTTTCCTTATCCATCTTCAAATTGACATCGTTTTAAGATAGATCGCCTGCTCAAACAACAACTATGAGGTGTTGAATGCGCGGAACACAATACCCATAAATATATATTTATTAGGACAAAAATAGAGGTTTAGAGATTATACTAACTATGTATTGAGGTACAAATTCGTAGGTCTTTTTACTAGCTGAAATAGAGGTGTTAAATTAACATATCTACCTCATGGACCACTATACTCATCTCCATTAAAACTTCATTTAAGTTAGTCAAAAGAGCAAAATTATATGATTTTATTAACATTGATTATAAAAGTTATGTCTCGATAATACTCTTAGCAAACATATGCAGCTTGTGCGCCAGGTGAGGAGACGGTAGAGCACTTATTTATTGACTGCGAGTTCGTAAAAGAGATTTGGCGGGAGGCGAAACAAGTTTGCAACACTTTGAATTTTGATCCCACCTCAAGGGGACATCCTTGGCACCATTCGAAGATGGAAGCACGAGATTCCCGATTGTCTTAGCGAGTGGATTGCTTTTTGTGCTCTTCATACTGTTTGCTGGCAGATCTGGTTAGAAAGAAACAACCAGATATTCCAAGATATCAACAACAACACCAAAGTTGTTTTCCTAAAGGTGATCCGAGGCCCGGTTGAGTGGCTGGTGGCGCATAAAAAGATCAGTAGAGACCAAGGTATAGGCTGGCTGAGAACGCAACTTGCTCTCCAGAATCAAGACAGTTGATTTCCGTTTCCCCCTCTGGGAGGCGGCGTTTCCCGTCAGGCGCTACAACAGCTTTGCTCTTCGCCTTCGATTTCGTAGTTTGTTCTGTTCAGCCGGGTGCTTCGCTGGTTTTGCTGGCTTTGCTATTGTGCTTTTGTGTTTGTCTGTAGGTTTTGTTTTTAGTTCGGGAAGCAGGGGTCTTTCGGCGCTCTTTGCTTCCCTCGTTCTGCCTGGACAGGAGCACTTCTTGGGGATTTTTCCAATAATAGCACCTTAAAAAAAATTACAAAACTAGCACCCATATGAAAAAATTGACAGAAATAGCGCCAATTTTTTTGGAACGCACCTGAAGGGTGCGATTTACTTATAAAACGCATCAGAGGGGTGCGTTCCAGTTTACAAAACGCACTGGGGCGGTGCGATTTAATGCTGCTGCGGAACGGTCTTCAAGACCGTTGGATGGAGGGACGATCGGGCTGCTGAACGCATGCCAGCGGAGCGATCCGCGCCAAGGATAGCAGATCGCACGCCCGAGATGCGGTCAACCCTAGGGAAGCGCAAAACGCATCGGGAGGGAGCGATCCGTGCGAATGCAAAATTACACTACCGCCCCTGGGGACTGAGAGGTGCGGTCTGATGGGTATAAATACCCCCCTTCCCCTCTCATTTCTTCACACCACAACCCATTCTTCCTTCTCTCTCTACAATTTATCTCTCTAAACCCTCCCCCTCCAAAAGCCTAGGAAATAGTGGTCTGTTGGTTGCGGCTAAGTCCGATCTGCCATCAGAAAACATTTCTTAGGTTTTTTCCTCAAAACCCGCCGAGCCGAGCCAAAGCTCTGTCCGAATTGCGCCGGAAAAATGGCCGATTGGTGGCAAGGAGAAGGAGTTTATGTTGATGAATTTCAAGCGGTACGTACTCATTATTCTGGTTTAATTTTTGTTATTGTTATAAGTTTTTTAATTAATCTATGTACTAACCTCGTTGTTATTTTCTCGTAGGTTGGGGAGGACGTGGATATATACAACCAACGGTATTATCTCGAGCAACGACCTTTGGATCCAACCGACTTGTACGACCAACCCAACCATCGGTCAAGGGATGTTTGGAACGCTCACCCGGTACATACAATTCTTTACCATTTGTCCTTCTTTTATTTTGTTAATGTATTTAGTGGAATATAAAATAAATTTATGTTGAATATTTAATCGTGTTGGTTGTTTTCAATAATTTAATCGAATACATAGCGCCACTTACTTCGACTCTTTATAAAGAGATGCACGTCTAAGAAAATGGGGTTTTAAGCGATTATCATATCCTCCCATTCCCTGGGAAAATCGGGTATTAAGAGATCCTCGGATCCCCCCTTTTTCTGTCAAAAAGACTGCGTTTCTAAGAAGATGTATACCTCTTCTAAGAGTCTAACGAGTGTTGCTTTGTATTCGATTAAATTATTTAAAACAACCAACACGATTAAATTATTTACCAAACAACCCTTACGATTTATTTTGATGTGTAGAAAATGAATTTTATTAATTTCAAACATTTGAATATGTATGTTTCTCTTAAATTATTATTCATTAACAATGTTATTTATTTTAGTTAATTTAGTATGTTTGTTTTACGATAATATGTATGTATCTCTTTAAATTATAATATGTATGTATCTCTTTAAATTATTATTAATTTAGAATGCTATTATGTTGATTATATGAAATATCTTTTTATGATAATAAAATTCTACTTGAAGTTAAATAATTTAATTTAATTAATTTAGTTATAAGGAATAAACCCTTACTAATATATAATAATTAACGTGTAAATTTTCCCTAGGAGGCACAAACAATAATCCGCTACAGGGGTACGACCAATGTGCTCCCATTCCACCCAGCTATCTTGCCCTTTCTCAAAAGGGCACGGTTGGACCCGATTAGGCATTTTAACGGCATCAAAGTTGATCGCCAACTCATCACCGCATTAGTTGAGAGATGGAGAAAGGAGACTCATTGTTTCAACTTTAGAGAAGGAGAGGCCACCATCACGCTAAAGGATGTCGCCATCCTAACTCATCTCCCCATCGACGGCAAACCGGTGTGCGTGAGTGATCATCCCCCCGAGGATTGTGACGGTATGCCCCATTGGTTGTGACCCAAGGTGTCGGCCCGAGATCCCCCCAAGGTGGCGGCCCGAGTTCCCCCCAAGGTGGCGGCCCGAGTTCTCCCCAAGGTGCCGGCCCGAGTTCCACCCAAACTCCCCGCCAAGGCTCATACTACGATCCCCGCTCGACCTACCATCAAACCCCTCCGAGTCCCACCCCGATCTCATACAACGATCCCCGCCAAGGAGCATACTACGATTAACGCTAGGTCTAACCCCCATCTCCCCGCCAAGGAGGTTACTACGATTCCCGCCCGGTCTACCCCCCATCTCCCCGCCAAGGAGGTTACTACGATTCCCGCCCGGTCTACCCCCCATCTCCCCGCCATACATCATCGGGTACTTGGCATGATGGTTCTCCACGACGGCGCACCACGATTTTGCGCCATTGACTCGCCCTCATCAGCAGTGGCCTCCTACTCCTCACCGTATGAGCGTGGATGTCCCACGCACGACCCCGGAAGTGCCGATTCCCCGCCGACACAGCACCGACGAGCGCCAAACTACCTCGGCCCGATTTCGAAACTTGCCACCGCAACCACCTGTTGTTACTCCCGTCGGTCGTCGTACAAGGAGCAAGAAAACCGTGGGTTCCGGTGAAGCTCGTGGACTTCCTTGAGTTATATTTTGAGAGTTGAATTTAATTTCTATGTAATTGGAACTATTCCTATTCTCTTAGTTTGTCGAATTGATTGTTGTTTCAATTTGGTTTTTATTTCAATGAACAAAGAACTATTCCTATTATCTTAGTTTATCTAATTGATTGTTGTTTCAATTTGGTTTTATTTCTATCCCCTTGGAACTATTCCTTTTATCTTGTTCTAATCCCAATTCGTTCAATCAACAATACAGTGGAGAGAAGAGATTGGATTGAAAATTATGGGTTTTAACCCAAATTCGAGCCAAAGAACGATAAAAGCAACAATACACAATACACATATCGTTCAATCAACAATACACAATTACTTGCAAAATAAGAGTCTCAACTAGCTTGAAAAAAAATGATAAAAGCAAACTATGTCGCATTAGCTGAGTCCGACACATCAGGACCCGGATTTTGCGGACCAATCGGTCCTGGACACCTTCGTTTATCATGTCCTGGAACTTTGCATATTGAACATCGTCTTGGGTCTCGTGGTAGTCTTCCACTTTGATCCATTTCGTTCTGAATTCTCTTTTTCCTCGGGCGACCCGGTTCACGCCTCTGTCCGAACGGCGGGATGATCAATTTTCCTTCGTACATCGGCCAATAAGCTTCATCAGGCAATGCACGGAAACTCCGTCCATAGGTGTTTTTGAGTGAGTCGATATTGAAGAATGGACTAACGAAGTGACGGGGGTCTTTGCTCATGTTTTTAATTACGACCATTGCATGAGAACAAGGCCACCCTCTCCCCTGATACTTCTGGCATGAGCACTCACCAACTTTTGTCCTGAAATTGACCAAAACTTCATGGCGGTGGCCTCCCCGTCTACCTTCCTACCGATGTCCGGTCGTCACGCTATACTCGCCATTTGCCCGATTCATAACGGTTACACTATGTCGACTGCTCTTGCGATTGTCATTCTCCATTACTTCCATGACTTTATAGGCATGGACCTTACCATGTGCCTCGTTCGTCCTTACCCAGTGGAGTCGGTTGCCGAACCATGCATTCGTTTTCCAAAAAGTCATCTCCACAATGGCAGAGATTGGCAGTGCACGAACGACCTTGTAGACAGAGTTGATACTCTCACCTGAGTTCGTTGTGGCAATACCCCATCTCGTCCCTCCATCTTTATGAAATGTCCACATGGATAGGTCATGTCCATCCAGCCACTGTGCCCCTTCAAGGCATAACTCGCGCAACTTCTGCATCTTCTCCAGAAATTTTTTCTCTTGGTAGGCAACCGCTGAGGAAGACATAGAAAAGTAGTATGTTAGTCAATTTTCGGCAATTTAGTACAATTCGAACAACCCGGAGTTACTCTCGTTAGACTCTTAGGAGAGGTATACATCTCCTTAGAAACACAGTCTGTTTGACAGAAAAAGGGAGGATCCGAAGATCGCTTAAAACCCGATTTTCCCAGGAAATGGGAGGATCATGATAATCGCTTAAAACCCCATTTCCTTAGGCATGCATCACTTTAGAAAGAGTCTAACCAGTGCACCACTCGCCAAATGTACTAAGATATTGTTAGCTGACAAAATTATACGGCTAATTACAAACTTACCAATCCACCACAAATTATCAGCAAGCTTCTTTCGCTTGAAATGATGGTTCCAGTTGCTCTTGAAGTGTCGTATGCACCACCTTTGGGACCACTTCCAGACTGGATCTAAACCTAAGATGACATCTCTAATGCCGGTGGCGATCAGAGATTATTGTCAGGTTCTTCCTCCTAGTGACGTGGAGCTGAATTTGCCGGAAAAAGCATTCTCTCCCTCAACGATGGCGAAGGCTAAAGGAAAGACTTGTCTGTTTGCATCCGCCCCACTGGAAATCAGGAGATTGCCCTTGTACTTGCCGGTAAGGAATGTACCATCCACTTGGATGACAGGGACAAAGAAGCCAAAACCATCAATACATGGCTTGAATGCCCAAAAAAGTCGTCTCAAATGGCGCTTGTTACCTGGCTCTGGGGGTTGTATCTCTTCATCTTGGTATCGAGGAGAGAAAACCGTGCCAGGGTTAGACGCCTCCAATGCCAAAATTAACCTGGGAAGGAATGCATATGATTCTTCCCAATCACCAAAGACGGCGGCCAGAGCTTTCTGCTTTCCATGCCACGCCTTCTTATAGTTAATCATATAACCATAACGACTTGCAATGTCAGCGATTATGACTTTCACCTTCAGGTCTGTCTCTTGCTCAATTAGATGCTTGATAGCCGCAGCAACCACCCTGGATTTCAACTGTCGATGGCCTTGGGAAGTTATGGATGACACACATGTGTGTGTGTTCACCGCACGGGATATGACCCAGTGGCCGTGTCTCTTGCTGTTGATGGCCCGAATCCTAACATTGCACCCCTCGTGATGATTACGGCATCTGACTATGAGAGCCTTTTTGTTGGAATGAGTTGTGTGCCATTCAAAATGCCGAGTCATTGCTTCTGTCTCAATGGCGTGCCACACCTCCTTCTTCGAGCCAAATTGTTGGCCCTTCATAAACCCAGTGAGTGGACCCCATATTGGGACCTCTGGCGGCTCCATGTCGCTGTCGACCATCCAATTGTCGTCTGGAATGTGATTGTAGTAGGGGACTGGTACACGGTCACGAGCCCCCTCATCATCATTACTCTGAGTCTGACTCTGGTCCTGAATCATCAGCACCTTCAAGAGGGTCGGAGTTGTCTGCACTGACGTTGTTCTCTCCTTCTTCATCGGAGGGGTCACTGACTGGTGCTGGCAGGGCATCCTCCATCTGATCTAGCTCATGAAAGGCACCTTCATCAGCTCCATAATGGTAGTTGTGAAAACTACCACTGCCTGAGTGGAAGTTGTACTGAGGTTGGTTGGGGAGTTCCGGTTGAACTTCTTCTTCATATGACGGGAAAGATTGATGATGACCTTCACCTTGCTCTTGGTACTGAAAATATGAATGAGGATCATGGTAACTTTGGTAGGGATGATCGCCATATAATTCACCTCCACCATGGATACCAGATGTTTGACCGTGTCCAGAATGACCTCCAACGCCTACGACTGGCTCGGTGTAAACGAACATCTCGACTTTGGAAAGATTGTTGGACCTCATGAATTCGAGCATGGCGTCTACCTCATCCTGATTGGTTATGAGATATTCCTCATGCCACAATGACCCACTTTCTCTGTTTGGATATCGGTACACCATACGATCAACTCTTCTCGTGTCATCCATGCAAGTAACGTTAGTGCACATTTGATGGAGGTCTTCAAGCAGCGGTCTGGTAGCGACCTTTATCTTCTGAAAATTGCCACCTACGTAGGTGACCCCCTTTCCGATCTCTTCCGTGTAACCATTCCACCGTAAGCCAAGCGTAAACTTTTGGAATGCCATCTGCGATAAAATCGTAGTTCAGTTAATATCATAAAAATCAAAAATAAAAAATAACAATAAGAAGTAATACTAAATAAACTTACGAGTTAACGTTAATCGCAAAACTACTAAAGAAATATAGAGCTACAACAGAAAATTGAAAAGGGAGAAGGAGAGGTGTGAGGATAAGTGGTTGTCCGGGAGGCCTTTTATAGGCAAAATCACTGATGAAAACCGCACCTTAGAGGTGCGGTTTTCGTCTGCCATGCAGGCCCATGCAGACCCACGTCTGTTACGTCTGCATGGTATGTCGGAAATTGATTGACCAAAACCGCACCTTCAAGGTGCGGTTTGTATGGCAAAATCGCACCATGAGGGTGTGGTTTTGTTTGGGTGGAACAAATCGCACCTTTATAATGCGGTTTTAATAGGTCAGGCCAAAACCGCACCTCGGCCAAGCGGTTTTCGTAGGTCAGACCTAAAACTGCTTCGCCAAAATGCGGTTTTGGTCCAGAAATTTAGAACGCACCTTAGTGGTGCGGTTTATTTATAAAACGCATCCTTAGGGTGCGGTTTAAATATAAAACGCACCTCTAAGGTGCGGTCTAATAAAAAGGGTGCTATTAGTGTAAATTTTTTCGGATGGGTGCTATTTTTGTAAATTTTTTTTAAAGGTGCTATTTCTGGAAAAATTTCCATACTTCTTGTTCCGCTGGATCCTTTCCTTCTTTTTATTTTCTCTTTACCTTTTATTTTCTTTCTTCTGCTAGACTTTGTATCCAAGACTGTTGTTTGGATTCTCTTTTCAGTTAATTGCAATTCTCACCCTTATAAAAAAATAATACTCTTAACTATTGAATATTTGAATCATAATCTGAAGTGTGGGTTGATGACTAGCCAGAAGTTAGGCCCAATCTGAAGACCAAACTTGGTAAAGGCAGAGCCAAAAAGGGAAGGCGCCAATTCCTGCTGCGTTTCCACTCAATACCAGAGGATGATCAAGGTGGCACAGTAGCTTGGGACAAAAGTAACGGCGAATGTGCTGTAGCATCTATGGCTTTCGATCTTTGACCTCCTTTTTGGTTTAGGGCACCCCAAAGTGCTTCTTTTCTTCCCCCCTAAGAAATCAACACCTTCCCCAGTTCCATTTCCAAAGCAAGCCCCACCAGACCTCCACAACAAAGCAAAACCAGTATCCAACTCTTACCTTAAACCAGGGCTAACAAATTTCGAACTGATCACATGGCTCCGACGAACACGACGAGCGACACAATATGTTTTGCACAACGATCCATAACTTGAAAAAAGAGCACCAGAAGGCAGAAAAGAACCCTGGTGAACTGAACCACATTAATTTTCACAAAATGAACGATCAAAATACAAATTATACACCACTATCATATACGAAGCCGTGTGACGGGGCCGTGCAAATCCTTTCGCGGCACTGTCATATACGAACCCTGGAAACGCCGGGGCATTCAACGGGCCAAAAGCCCAACCAGTACTAATGGTAGGAGAATCGACAAACACGAATAGGGATGTCCCAGGCTCCCCAAGCTGGTAGAGCTTTTCGCAGTTGATAGCTGCTGAGGACTCTTCCTCGGATCGGACCCAGTAATGGAAGTCGGCGGAGAAGCAGACCTTGCCGCAAATGGCGCCGGAACTACAGGACTCGGCGTGGTGGAGGTATTAGTCGAAGATGGCGCAGTAGGCGTCGTCGGAGAAGTCATCGTCGGCGCAGGAGCCGTCGCCGAGCCGAGATCCGTCCCCTGCATAGTCCCAACGCAATCAAGTCAATCACCACATATCTAAATAAAAACATCAATCGATAAATGTACAATCCAACGGTGTTGATTAGGCGCAATTTTTTTTTTTTTAAATTACCTGACTAGCGGTGTTGTTGCCGCTCTTCATCAACCCGGCGTCGTACGTCATGGTGAGATCCGGGTTGAAGAGTCCGAAAGACCTCTCGGAGCCCGGCCCGGGCTTCAAATCCTCGTCGTACAACGCAAACAGATACGTGTCCACCGATTTCCCCGGCATCAACGGCGTCCCAGCCATGGATCTCAGGTGGGAAATCAGGCCACCGTTGTAAGCCCTGGCGCTCTCCACGTTCACCCCGGCCTCGTTGGCGTCGCCTTTGTACGGCCATCCGGTCTCCGCCACGACGATCTCCACGTCCTTGAATCCCGCCGCGTTAAGCGCCGAGTAAATCGCGTCCACCTGGGCATCCCACATGTTCATGTACTTGATCTTGGTGTTCCCGTCGACCCGACCCGGGTTCGGCCCGAACAGGCAGAAGGCCAGCGTGTCGGGTCGGGTGTCGTCCCGGTAGGCGAAATACGGGTACGGGTTGATGGCGAAGGGGGAGCCCGTCTCCTTGTTGAACTCCAGAAGCCCCTTCATCAGGTCCCCGTCGAACGCCCCGGCCGACGGCGGCTCCGATTGCTTCAGCACCGCCATGGAGTGGACGGTGGAGACTCTGATTTTGGTGAAGGACGCGGCGGTGAGGGCGTTCTGGACGTTCCGCATCGCCGGGAGGATGTTGTTGACGAGGTTCGGGTCGCCGGAGGACATCACCTCGTTGCCGACGGTGATGAGGATGATGTTGCTGGCAGGGTAGAAGGGGGCGACGTTGGTGCTTATCCAGCTGGCGGCGGCGCTCGGGTCGGAGGCGAGGCCCGGGATGTCGCCGTTCGCCGCGCCGATTACGATTCCGATCCCGGTGTTGGCTAGGGATTTGATGACCGCCGGGTCGGCGCCGTAGAGGCGGACCTTCTGGATCGTGGTGGATTGGAGGAGCTTCGCGGTGGCGGACGGCGGCGGGAGGTTGTCGGCCACCTGGCCGATGTTTATTCCGATGAACGACTGCGACTCTGCCAAACAGGTAAAAAAGAAAACCAAGAAATCAGTAATTACCTGGCCATTTTGTTAATTACGGTGAGAAAGTGGGGAAACAGGGGAAAGCTTACTTCCGGGTTTTACAGTGAGGGAGAGGGAAAGGAGAAGCAAATAAGCTGCATAGTGAAGTGTCGCCATGGATGGAATTGAGCTGCGATACTCTGTTCTTCCCTTTCTTTTCTGAAAACACGGAAGTTTGAAAATTGAAATGCTCTGTTTCTGAAAACAAAATAGGAACTGAAGAGGGTTTAGAGGGGGATGAAGGGGGTAAATAAAGCGAGGGAGAAGGGCAGTATCGTAAAAGGGTCTAATTTGGGGTGGGATAAGCTTTGCCGGATAGTACAGAGGAGAGGTCGTTTGCAATCGGTAATTGTGATAAAACTCCACCTGGCAGAGGAGGTTAATATGGACATTTGCTCACGTATAACGGTACTATAGTCGCATGTAAAGTGTAAACAATTATTTTATCAGTTTGACTTTGACCACTTTTACGGTTTTACCTTTTCTTATTTAGATGGTTAAACTTAAATATTTGATTTGGTAATTGTTGGGTATTATATGGCTCGGGTCTAGTCGCGTTAGGGAAGCATCCCGGCACCGCCCCAGAAGGGTCAGGCGCGCCAATACTACCACAACCAAGGCGCCCTCGCGAGGATCACGCCCGCGCGGACGAAGACCCTGGACCCCGAACGACGACGTTTCAATTAAGCCTTGACTAGACCAAGAAACCAGGAAAACAACGCCACGTTTCCCGAAGAGTAGTCACATCATTGTCCTAGGTATAATCATAGTCAAACTTCTAGTCCTAGGTAGAGGTATGACATAAACTTCTGACATGTCAGTAGTCATGTCACATTGGATAACTCACCTACCACCATGTAGCCTATAAATATGGCATTTACTCCGGTGGGTGAGGGGATCGCATTTTTCACTCTCTCACTCTACCTACTAAGAACTTTATCTCTCTAAGAATTCTCTCTGCCCAAACTCCCATGCTACTTACTCTAAGAATCTCTTCTGCCCTAACTTCTCCGTTGCTTACTCTACTCACCCACCTTTCATCCGAGTCTCCCTCCTACTCTCAGTTAGACTCAAACAATAATCAAATTTGCTTTTAGGTATAACATTTCAGTATTTTACCCTAAATTAGAAAATAAAAACACTGTATTAGCCTACATAAGTTATCATTAGCATTCATTAATTATGCTTTATTTTTCGATGATTTTTCTAGTTGTAAATTGTGCCGTAAAAAGTTGGTACAAACAATCAAGCAATCAAATTTTTCCATGTAAATCTATCGACCGACCAATCAAATTTTCATACTATCTTATCTATCAATAACTCAATATCATAAACCATTAATTATTATTTGATTACTGCGTAACAAAAAAAAACTAAAATCATATAAAAACAATTTCCAGTATCTTTGTTAAAGAAGTTTTGTACCAATTACTTTTGCAAAACTTGTACCGAGACTCTTAAGAGCTATTTTCCCTTCATCTTCTCATAATCATATGATGCAAAGTTGGATACGAGCTCTTATTAAACGTGCAGATAGTAAATTCACTTATTGGATTAGGGGAATTGTTTAACTAGATATAAATCAATGGCCCTCGGTAGTGATTTGGTTTCAAGTAGTGATTATATTACTCGTACATTACTTGTTTCATTTTAGAAGGTTTTTCTTGCTATCAATATTCGTGTTTCTTTTGGTCCCCTAAACTATTGAAATGAATCGCGATTTCCAACCTATTCATTTGCTGAATCTTTAACATACTTCACAATAAAACGTAGTTTTCAATCGCTCAATGTCGAGCCAAAGATGTAAAATATGCAATGAGAGTAGCTAGTGCCGATTTGGAGACTGATCGATCCTTGGTATAGAAGGAAAAAACAGGGCGCCAGGAACCCCTGCCTTTTTTTTGCATTCAAAATGGTCGGTAGAAAGAGGGGAACTAGGGATCTTTTGCTTTTAAGTTTTAACTTAGCTGCTCGAACGTAACGGAGAAGAACTTGGTGGTAGGGTACGTTAACGTAAGTACGTGCACAGAGTTGGTGAATGTGGTTTTGGCAATTTCTTCCCCGCTAAGAATTCAAAACCATTCCATGTAACCCAAAGCACCACCACCACAACGTTTCGGGTGCACAAAAAGTACGTGAAAGCTAAAGACGAGCCTTAAAAAATAATGAGGTCAAGGAAGGCATATATTCCACCACATTTGATTTTCAAACCCAACATGACGTGCGACTCTACTCAAGCATAACGGATTACGAAACCCATACAAGCGGAGCAAAATATACCCGGTCTCATGAATATTCGGCTAAATTTTAGAGTACCTAATTTAGTATATAGTTTTATGAGTTTTCGCAATTTGAGTACCTAATTTTATCTAGGATTGAAAAATTGTCAGATCTGGTACATATCATACCATACATACGGTCGAAATCGCGCAGCTCAATTAGTACGATATTGTCCGCTTTGAGCCAAGCCTGCACGGTTTTACTCTTGGGTTTTCTCCCCAAAAGACCTCGTACTAATGAGTTTTGTGGACACTATTATACAACGATTATCTTGATCTGCCAGACGCCTTGTATCGATGGGCTTCTCGGTACAAGGACTTTACCAGACGCAGAACTCTCGTTCGATCTGCTTCCCAAATGCGGAACTCTCTTTGCTCCGCCAAGCCCAAACGTGGATCTCTCCTGGATCCACCAAACCAGACGCATATCTCAAATCTCGAGGTCACCAAACGAGGGTTCCACTGACGTCCACCGCCCCGAACCAAACCAGGCTCTGATACCACTTGTAGAAACTGGGAAGCTCAATTAGTACGATATTGTCCGCTTTGGGCCAATCCAACACGATTTTACTTTTGGGTTTCTTCCCAAAAGGCATCTTACTAATTGTGCTAGGTGGATACTAATATACAAGGATTCCTTCCCTTGTAGTACCAATGTGGTACTTGGATTGTCCTCATAACAATCCTCCGCTTAAGACAAGAACCACGAACTTCGTGCCCTCACCTCAACGATTATCTTGATCCGCCAGACACCTTGTATCGATGGGCTTCTCGGTAAAAAATTTTTCTCAGACGCAGAACTCTCTTTGATCTGCTTCACAAACGCAGATCTCTCTTGGATCCACCAAACATACACGAATCACCTTTGACCCGCCAGACAAACGTAGATCTCAAATCCCTAGGTCACCAAATGAGGGTCCACCAAACTGACGTCCACCGCCCCGAACCGAACCAGACTCTAATACCACTTGGTCACCAAATGAGGGTCCACCAAACTGACGTCCACCGCCCCGAACCGAACCAGACTCTAATACCACTTGTAAATCGGACTGCTCCATTAGTACGATATTGTCCGCTTTGGGCCAAGCCCTCACGGGTTTACTCTTGGGTATCCTCCCCAAAAGGCCTCGTACTAGTTGGGCTAGGTGGACGCTAATATACAAGGGTTCCTTCCCTTGTATTACCGATGTGGTACTTGGATTGTCCTCATAACACATACGGTATAAGCGCGGTCTAAATTGTGAGACTAAATAAGAGATCATACCAAGTACTATACAATATATACAACTCCATTTGTACGTTTTGGACCAAGACGACCATGTGAAGCAAAAAAAATTAATAATTTGTTTGGTCCATAAAACAAAAGGTCGAATCAATAACTAAGAAAATCCCCTATATTTTGCCTTTGAAATCTAAAGTCTTACATGCATAGGTGATCTCAATACCATGAATTCAAACAAATAACAAAGACAAAAAGTCAAAGCATTCCAAGTTACATCATAACGTCATAAATATTAACATAATGTCATATGCAAATATGATCATCTATTCTCTCTACATAATGTGATATGTGGAGGAAGGAGGGGACGAAATGCATGAAACTAAGGTTAAAACTTGGACCTTATTAAGGAGTGGGGAGAGTGGTCGAGTGACTGCTAACATGAATTGGGAGGGAAAGTGGGTCGGGTTCATGGTCTGGTCTAACAAACCGCAGTCTGGATCATTTTTGACCAAGAGATCAAAACAACTCATAATAACCATATCACAGACCAAATAAAAAACCATTCTTAATTTCTTATTGTTCTATGCTTCAAATTCTGGACCAAACTATTCTGTCCGATTTGATCACTGCTACTTTTTCGAATGATCCGTTATTTTTCCAGCCCTAAATTTTGAAAATAGTCACCAAATGGGAATGATAACGAGTTTAGATTTATGGTACATTAGTAGTACTCCTACCCGTCCTATGATAGGTCTTTGTTCAAATCGAGTATTTCGGCCTGGGATACGAGTAATCCAAGTAGAACTACTATCCGTTCGAGTATTTATATCTAGTGTACATCCATTACATATAACAAGGTCCCCGCCCCCTAAATTAAAAGTTTAAAATTAAACTATATAGAGTACCACATCCATTTTATTTACAAATGCACCAAAGAGTCACATAATTAAGAGAGGTAGAAATTAAAGAACCCTAAACTACAACTAACAACCATGTGCATTATTAGCACCATTACACAATCCCTCCACCATCACCAAACGCCATAATCTATCTGCAGGGTTCCTTAACATTGGACGGTGGGCACGAGCTCGGCGAGACCTCGTAGCCACAAATGGGGCAGTTCTTCTTCACCAGCAGCCAGTTGGTTATACATCCCGCATGGTAAGGATGCCCGCACCCGACAATCTCCGCCAGCTCCTCCTCCACGTCACCACCAACCCCTCCTCCTCCTCCTTCCTCGTACTCCGCCTGACAAATCACGCATCGATCCACGTCAGCCAACAGCTCAGCAACCTTCCTGCCACGTCGGAGGCAGCCAGGCCCCAAGATCTCCTCCATGGACAGCCCGCGCTTCTCCGCCGGCCCAATAAACTCCCCCAACGCCATCAGCTCCTCGTACGTCATCTCGTCCGGATCGATATCGTCTTCCTCCATCTCGTCGTCGTCGCTGTAATTACTGCCTTGTCCTTCCTCTAGAAACCCTTCGAAGTCGACTTCTTCGAGGCCTTGGCTGTCGAAGAACTCGTACTCGTTCTCGTCCTCGTCCTCGTCGCTCGAACTCCAGTCAACCTCCTCCTCCTCTTCTTCTTCTTCTTGGATGAAGTTTTCTCTGACGGCGGCGTTTTGTTGGTGGTGGTGGTGATCAATGACGTCCATGGCTAGTGTCAAGTCGGAATGGACTTGGTCCGACGGCGTCGTTTTTGGCTCGTCTTCATCGCCGGTGTTGTTCATTGTTGGTTTTCCGTTGTTGTCCATGGCTTGATGGTGGGGAGGGAGCTAGGGACGGTGTTGGTAGAGATCGATGTAGGGTTTTAATGGCGGGAGGAGCTACAGAAAGTGTATAAGAAAGGCAAGTTGAAAGTTCATAATTGGAAGCAATATAGCAAAGATGATGCTAAGGGCAAACAAAAAAAAAAATTATTCCAAAGAAAACGATCCTAAGGTGGATATACCGTTCTTCATGGTTAACTTGCCCTCCACTCAATCCTAAAAACGGTAGGATATTGGCCGTGGGGGAGCTGGGTTTTCTTGAGGGAGACGGCACCGGAATTTGGGTGTTGGGGGAGAACAAGTTAAACATGTTGTTCAAACTACGTACATAAAGAACAAGAGACAGAATGCGTATTCGTTTGTCCAATGTGGAGCTGGAGCGGGATATGGTGCAATTCTTATAAGAGTTTGCAATGGTGACAACCTACATTTTAATTCTTAACCACATGTATATAGGGGTGGCCGTTTACCGGTTACCGGTTAACCGGCCAGTTAAACCGATAACCGGCCGGTTATCGACTAACCGGTAATTGAAGTAATCGAACTTCGATTGGTTATCGGAGGCTGGACAAAATGGTTTTTGGTCTTAAAAGTTGTTCGGTTAATCGATAACCGACATAACCGAGAAACCGAAGTCTATTTCGATCGGTTTTTGATAGACAATGTGGTTATTTCGGTTAACCGATAACTGGGCGATCGGTTACCGGTTATAATCGAAATAACCGAACTGTCACCCCTACATGTATATATTATTTTGATCGAATGGATGTAAGTAGAGGGATGGACAAATTAGATAATCACGGTGTTGAAAATCTAAATCCCTATTAAATGCATTTTTATTGGAAAGAATGATTTTTTTATTGAAAATAATAAAAACAAAATAAATGCGAATTTTATAGGAAATGTCCCTCGCCTCTATAATATATAGAAGTTCTTCATGAGATTTTGAGCATTTCAAATTCCTTGAACTCTCCTTAACTGTAGCTAGGGGTAAATTTGTAAGTTCAGCTTAGAACTTAAATATCTTCTTACTAGAAAAAAATGTCATTACCAAGACTTGAACTTGAGTCCTTCAGATTGATAGTCAATATCCCTAACCAACTGAACTACAACAATGTTTATGTATTTTTTGAATTGAAGAGAGAAAATGTTGAAATATCTCAAAAGCATACTACTATTCACTGCAACAATCAATCATCGAATTAATTAATAACTGTAATTATTTACAAAGCGAGTTCCTCTGATCACACAATTCTTCACCAAGAATCAAATAGTACATTTTGAGTTTATGTATGTCTTACAACTTTTAAATTTATTAGGTTACATGACTTTGCAGTTCGTAGGAATACAATGATTGTTTACAAAAGTGTTATACAAAATTTTATTTCAAAACATAAAATTTGACATTTGTGATATATGGTTTTGTAACGAGACATTTTAAATGCTATAAGTGGATGACCAAAAATCATTGGCTAACAATTTCCCTAATGATTGACAATTATAAGCACAGAATTGAAAGACTAAATACCATTGACAAATGAGCCAATTATCATTGGCTAAATTTAACAAACAATGGTATGTGTATATACATTGGAAATTCTATGGTACGCTCAATGGATTGAGGGTTATTGCTTCTCCTTAGTTAAATAAAATTATCTAGACCATAGATTAATCACGTAACTCAACCTATAATAATTCTCTAAATCCTAATATAGTGCATATGGTATGTTGTAACTCAACCTATCGTAATTCTCAAAATTATCTAGACCATTGGAAATTCTATGGTACGCTCGATGGATGGAGGATTATTACTTCTCCTTAGTTAAATAAAATTATCTAGACCATAGATTAATCACGTAACTCAACCTATCATAATTCTATAAATCCTAATATAGTGCATATGGTATGTTGCATACATCTTAGCGAATCAGGATCATTGATTATGTTCTTAGTATATGTGATATTAGGTTTAAGTTCTATAGATTTAGGGTATATGATTTAATTATTTGAAACTTAATCTCCCTTTTCAAATTTCCTGCAATGAGAGAAAAATTGAAGGACATTTTTGTCTTAACAATTATGTGTATTTTTTATTTATTTACATAAAAAGATAGACATATTGAGATTTGAACCATGGTCACTTCAAACAAAGTGAAGGTTTAAAATCAATCAGACTATGTAGATTTGTTGTATTTTTTAAATTAAAAATATATACGAAGCTAAAATATGAAATCACAGAACTTTTCAACAGTTAGCTAGCCCAATAAATATTCCGTAACTACTTTTTGGTGTTTTGATACTTCGATTTTGATATTTTATTTTAATTATAGTATAATATTTAATTTAAAATTTTATCTATCTTATAAATAGACGATAACCATAAATTTGCAACCAAAATATTGTTGGTTCGAATATTTCATATCTAATTATAGTATTGAATATGTAGAAGCGATATAGAATTCTTAAATTACGATTAATTTCCAGAACTATAGTGAAGCAATCATATCTTTGTGCAAACTATAGGGGACTGGTTCTCTGAACATTTTTGTCCGGTTAAATACTAAGTTTTGAAACTCTTCCTAGGGGTGTGCGTGGGTCGGTTCGTTTGGGTTTAGATATTTTAATCACCTAACTCATATACCACGATTTTGAAAACACAAAATACAAACTCACCCAAATAATTTAGAATTTTAACGGATTGTGTCCTCCATACCAAATGAACCAATGTACATGTTGCTTACCTAAGGACGATCTCATTGTCCAATCCCATCATTCTAATGTCAATCCATAAAAGTAACTCATATTCGCGTTTGGTAATACATGTTTCACATTGTCATTACTGTGACCGGTAAATTCGCTGCTACTGATTCGGTATTGCTAATCATATGGCCTCCAAACTAATAAACATATCGGGCCAGCAGTTTTATGACAAAACTCAAAGTGAAGACAACTCATCGTCTGGTGGAATTTTGGCACTTGGTGGTGTCCATTAATCTAATTGCAAGCATAATGATTGCTAAAATTAAGCTTTCACGCAACACACTTGGAGTAAAAGTTGATATTGGGTTTGGGAAGGGAAGTGGTGAGAGGAAGAAATTGTGTTTGGATTTGGTAGCAGGTAAAGTTCATGGTTCGGTTTCTTTTCGTAAAGTGCTTTGATTTATTTAGTTAGAGGTATAATATCATGGTTATGTGGGATCTAATGAACCACAAATGAGCTTGGGGGATCGGAATTTCAACTTAGAATGAGTGGTTTAAATTTTGATAAACTCAAGTTCATGATTAACTGAAAGAATATTTAGATTTAGACTTTGTGGTATTGAGATGTTCATAGAGAGTTTAAAACTGATCCAAGGCCATAGATTGATATTGGTTAGTTGATTGTGATTTTGAGGAAGGTGTATAAAAAGCAGTGCTGTCAAAGCCGAACCGAGCCGGCCGGCCGGACCGCCAAAGCCGCCACCCGCCCGTAAAACCGGCTCGGATCAGCTATTTAACCGCCACGGTTTTATACAGCGGCCGGCGAGCGGCCGAAGCGGTTAACCGTTTGAGCCGGTCGAGCCGGTCCCGCGGTTCGGCCGTTTTATTTACCCTAAAAAAAAAATAGAAAAGGCCAATCGTGGAATCGGCCGTCAACACCTCTTGTCCCGGCATCGGCGCTTCCCGACGGCATCGCCATCCCCAGTCGCCATCGCATCGCCATCGCCAGTCCTTGTTGTAGCAAGCAGCTCCCCGCTCCCGGCGCTTCCATCCCATCGCCACCGTCGCAAGCAGCTCCTCGCTAAGCTGCCATGTCTCACCAGAGGCTTGGATTGAATCCGAGCAATTTCGCGGATTGGGACGAGGAAGAGCATTTACGGTTTAAGAAAGGATGAGGTGATGGATTTTTGAGGAATTGCAAAAGGCTATAGTGGCTGGAAAATGAAAATAGGTGCAGCGGTGGGAGAGGAGGAAGGAGAGAGGGAGGGGGGATGGGGAAGCGGAAGGAAGGAGAGTGATGGGTGGGGAAGCGGCGTTGTCGCTTAGGATTAGGTTAGGGTTTTTTTTAGTTGTTGTATATATATGTTGTGTAGAATTATTAAATGGTACCTGTAATTATCATTTTTACTCATTAAATCATTGAATTATTACTTTATGTGTGTTCTACTATGATATTATATTGTTTATAATGTACCGGTTCTCAAACGGTTTTTAAACGGTCTAATGCTGGCTGAACCACTAATGACCGAGCCGTTCACGTTACCGGGTCATACTCCGACTCGGCTTTGACAACATTGATAAAAAGTCATGAAAGTAGTTTGCAGCAAGTGAAAGCAGTGAAGAGGCAGTTGGTCAGGGTAGTGATTGAAACAAGGAGGATATTGAAAGACATAGAAGCAAAATCGAAGCAGTTGAAGAGAGAGAAGTGGTAGATGATCAGGGTATTAATGAAAATGGAGAGGGTATTGAAGGACATGGAAGTGAACTGGATCAGGTGAATGCAGAGAAGGAGGAGAAGAGCATATTGATGGAATTAAAGATGAGTGTTGGTTTTACGAGCTTATTAAAACTGCCTCGAGGGAGATGAGTTTGCCAAATACAAGAAAGAGGATTGAGGAGTTGGAGATCAAGCTGACAAGAAACTCAATTGATAGAGAAATTCAGGTTCATGGAGAGAAGGTCCATCAAAGTAGCATAAACGGAGTTGCAGAAGGAGGATTAGAAATTGAATTTTGGTTTAAAACATATACGTCGAGAGATTGAAGATGGAGGGATAAAAAGTTGGTTCTACAACGGAGAGTGGAAACTATTGGATCTTTAGGTGTTATGGCTGTTGCAACTAACACAACCTATGTTTATGTTAAAATAAGGAATCATTGATTGATTTACTAAAGTTAAGGTCGATTCACTATTCAAACTACTGGAACCTGTAGATAAGGAGTGTCTAATTTTGTGCCTCATTACTTTGATGGAGTCTATTAGTATATTGGATGTAACTCTAATTTTGTCATTTGCTCTCAAGTTTTGATGGTCAACCCCAAACCACACTGGACGCAACACAGCTTTGACCAAGACCATATCGAATTGAATCTAATATGTCTTGGACCTTCATCCTACCAATCATACAAGTTCAAAAGAAAAATGTTCTGATGGGACATTCCAATCGAACTTCATCGGATCCCACCAGATCGAATGCACTTATGGTCCAATGTTGGATTCTATGATTTGTTTCATTAATGGACCATGTTTCTAATGAATATAAACAATCAAATATGAACATGCATAATGTTAATCGACCAACGGGCCGAGTTATAAGCTAGTTATAAAGAAATGAGATTCAAGGGAGATATTAGCGTGTGACGATGTGTTTCCTTCGTCAATCTTTTGTACTGGTAATAGTAGCGGCACAGTACTATGGTAGTTACCGAGAGATATTTTATTGATAGTAGTATTATATGTCATATTCTTATTGGTTTGTATAGTTTTGCATCTTTTTTCATTCTTTTGTATTAGTATCGATTACCATGTAATCCTTTTATAGGATTTGCACTATACGACAATTACGAAGTTGCACGCAAGCATGGATATGGACTCATCACGAACATGAAGTTGAACTTTACTAGAGCATCATGAAGTGCAATTGATACAAGGCGAGGCCAACAAATGTGGCCCTATGAGTATTAGGAATTCAAATAGTTACATTTCGAGCATATGACATTATTAGTAGTTACAAATAGGAATCCTAATGGATTTAGGTGGGGGAGGATATCTTAGTTCTCACACCCGTCTAGTGATAGGTTGAATTTAAGATCTTGGCTCCATTGTAATTCAGGATAGGTCGATTCTTTAAGTTTGCTTCTCATGTCCATCTCTTACATATAATATTTGAACTTAGGGGTCGTTTGGAAAACGGAATTTAGAGCGCGGATTCATTGAATCCGTAAATTATGTAGAAAGTTACTTTTTTGTTGTTTTTTGTATTGTGGATTTTAGTTTTAGAGATTTCAAATATCTAAAATCTACGGATATAAAATCTCTCATAATCAGAGAGATTCTATATCTTGATTCGTCAGATTTTTTTCTCCTACTTTTTCTCTTTCTTTTATTTATTTATCATATTAAATATATTTATCAACAAAGTTTTTAATGTTTCTCGAACCACTCTAATTTTTTTTATGAAGGATAAACATGTTATTTAATATAAAATTAATTTTTATTTTATTTTCATTGAATGTTAACAATCACAGTTACCAAACTATAAATATTTTAATATCTATTTTCAACAATCCGAAGAGTTATGATTTTTATCAAGACCCGCTTTAGATCCATTATTTTGAGTGTTATCATATCAGGTCGATTCGAATTCGAATGAGTATCTATGAGTTTGGTATGGACAAGGAAGAGAGCAAAAATGACAACTCACTTTAAGGAATATGTTAAGGCATACAAACAAAACTTTGGACGTTATGAGGGTCTTATTTTCTCCATTTTGTAACTTGTTTTAAGTAAAGGTCATAAAGTGCTAAAAAGCCTAAAAGCAAAGGCAAAGCATTTTGAAAACCATTACGACGAGAGCTTAGCTTTCTTCTACTGTACCTACATGTATTACTTCGATTGGAAAGGAAACTTAACTATATATGAAATTTGCTTTATATCTTTACCGAAGTGCGCTGGGTGCTTTAATGCTTAAATCAGAAAAAGGGAGCAACAAAAGGTTGGAGCTTTTGGATTGATGGACAATTATGTAAAAGCAAGTGTTTAAAGTCGTTCCCTCCACTAATAATTTTTTTTTTTTTTGAGGGGTAGGGATACTTCAAGAAGAGCCATTCCTTAGAGGTGAAATTGAGCTTGCTATGTCACTATTTTAAAATCAGTTTTTATAAAATCAAGCATTCAACTTGGTTCGACTTGGTCATATTTTCTTTTGACTTTGTCAGCAAAGTCGGTGCGAGCAGACCTGTTTGTGTAGAGCCTCCAAAATTTTAGGGCCTCTACACTATACAACTAAATAGCACATAAATATTGTGAGTTTAACATATATGATGAGTACATGTAACAGAGGGACGGGTTAGCATGCTAACCCCTTAAGGGGTTGGTTTTTTGACACCCTCTTTTAATTGGTCAATTTTTCATTAATTATTGACAAGTATTAATGAAAGTAAACATAATAAATGTTCTGTTATTAAATACAAAGTAAGCATTAAATATACCACATTAATTACCACTTTACTGGTATTTGTACCAGTACACTGATACTCAGATATGACATTGCTACCAGTGCACTGATATCGCTACCAGTGCAGTGGTATATCTACCAGTACAGTGGTACAACGTATCAGTGCAGTGGTATATCTACCAGTACAGTGGTACACCGTATCAGTGCAGTGGTATATTTTTTGGAGGTGGTCGGAGGGAGTCTGCCGATGGGATTTTCACCAGAGAAGTGTGGCGGTCGGAGGAAGTCTGGTGGTCGGAGACTGCTGAAAAGGGAAAAATCAAATATAGTGAGATAATTCCTAATGTGTATTTAATCTGTGTATTTAATTCCTAATGTGTATTTAATAGTGAGAGAATTCCTAATTAATATGGTACATTTAATTCCTAATGTGTATTTAATGTGTGTATTAAATTCTATAGTTGTATTTAATATACTAGGGGGTATCATTTTTCCAACCCCTAAGGGGGGTTAGCATGCTAACCGACCCCTGTAACAGATAAATTTCAGAATGTATGAGTAATTATAGGAGAAAAAAGGCTTATCCTATTATTTTTTTTGTTTTTGTTTTTTATGAACAAAATGAGAACCATTCCAATTCCGACAAAAGCCTCAAGTAGAGGCCCAACCTCTAGTTGGAGAATAGAAGCAACCTATTGCTATTATTAATATGTTGAGAAATTATATATTATTAGCTACTGAAGTCTAATTAATGGTAACCGGCGGCAGCCCTCCGCCCCCTCTGTTCTTTTTTATGCTTTCTCCCTTCCTTTGCCAACTCTTTAATTTTATTCCTGCCTTGTCTTTGCTTGGGTTTTGCTCGACTTAGTCGGTTTTCCTTTCCCCTTGGTGGGATCTGTTCCTCCTCTTCAGTGGGTTGAGTTTTTTGTCCTCCGTTCTGTTGATTCAGAGCTGGAGAGGTGTCCGATCTAAGATGCAAAATGGTGGCCAGATCTATCACAGATCTGGCTTGTTTTCTCCTCTTCTTTCCTTTGTGTACCTCCATGTTTTCCCTTGCAGATCTTGGGATTTCGGAGATGGAGCCCTTGGCGAGGACACGGTCTGGAGAGCTTTGAAAGCAGAAGATTTCTTCCCTCTGGCTGCTTCACCGGTCGTCGGTCGTCCTGATGGGTTCCCCGGTATTTGGACGGTGGAAGCTGATGGCGACTGGCTCGGGGCGGGTTGCATGGGAGGCCCTCTTCCTCTCCCTGCCAGTTCGGGTTTGGTGGATTCTCCTACCGTTTTGACGAGAGTTGGTGGTGGCTGGTGGGGGTCGACGCGGCTGTCGATTTCAAGTGGTGGTGGAGAGTTGGCTGCGGCGGTGGAGGCGTCCAGAGGGAAGCGGACGGTCAACTAGGGTTGATGGGGCTTTGACAATGTTTGGGTTCTTGGACTGGGCCCTATTGGGTATCCAGTTCTTTTTTGGGCCTTTTTGTCTTGATTCTGTTTACTCTTGTTTCCATCTGTATCTTTACCGGTTCGGCTTGGCCCGTTTTGTAATCTTAATGAACTCATTTAAAAAAAAAAGAGTTCAAAGCGTTGCGCGTCTCGTGCCTAGAGAATTTGCGAATCCCTCCTGCTTATACTAAAACTTTCCAAATATCTCTTTGATGAATGTGGAACGAGGTTGAGTTCATTTGGAAAGGAGTAAGCTAGCCTAAGAGGAAAATCAGGAATGGAAAGCTTCCCGCACCCTTTTTCCGCTCATTCTTTGGTCTTAAGAATACTGGTTTTATGAACGAGTAATTAAAAATCGAATAATGCGTATGTTGCTTAAAAAAGCTACTCATTGTTACTGTAATTCCTACTTTTTTTAGACCATTGCAAATCCCCCAATTGTGCATGATCACATGGGGAATATGAAATTGAAGAGCTTATAGATAGTTTTATATAAAAAATGATAGAAGGATGTTATTTTTCGAACGATAAAGTAATAATTATTATTTATCTGTAATCTTTTATCTTAATAGATTTATTAAGAAATGATTTGTGGAACAAGGCTTCTGTATTTGAGGGCCGACCCTACCTGTCTAGCCTGTACGGGTAAGGATCTTGCCGGCTACCAGGCCAACCCACTTTTAACGCATTCAACTCATCCTATATATTTTTTTTGGGTGTAATAACCTCACCCTATTTTAGCCAACTTATTTCAATATCAAACTAAATTTTATAAAATTCAAATCATATCTACAAAATTAAAATAACCCAAATTAATTCCCAAAGAAATTCCCAAATTTACAAAAAATCCCAAAATAGTACACGATACAATTTGCATCATTTTATTAATTTTAGTTCTTGAAATCTACACTGCTCCATTTATCAAATAAATAAAATAAATTAATAATATTAATTGAAATTGTCAACTTACTGACCAAAACACATCATATACGAAATAAAACAAAGAATTACCTGCCAAAAAGTAGGGATTAAGCTAGTAGACTACAGTCTGTATAGAGGAATTAATTCAGATACGAAACCTTTTATCAAATTCCCGCTTTGGCGGGAAATAAGACATACCATTATTCAAACCCACACACAAGAGGGAGGAAGGAACTGGAAGCAAGTAGAGTTCCATTTTTACAGAAGAAAAAAAAAATCCCCCGCGCAAAAAAATCACCGGGAACGACGATTCTCCCGATCAGAACACTGCCAGAAAGTCGCCGACGACCTCATCGAGAAGCCCATTCAGGACCTGCTTCTCGACCCCTCGTATCACTTCCTCCTCCTCAGGAAACTTCAAATCGGCCTTCTCCCAGCCGATCTCCCACATTGAATTCACGTCCGGCTCGCTGTTACAAACATCGGCTTCGAGCATCTTCGGCAGGTAATCTTCGATTCCCGACTCCGCGTTTCCGTTCCTTCCGTACAATCTCAGCTTCTCGAGGTCATTGCACAGTTGCTTGATTAGGTCATCTAGGTTTTCCGTAGATTTGAGGCGTAGCTTCGTGTAGCGATGAGTTCTGAGCAACTCTTGTCTTTTCCCCTTCCGTTTCATTACTTCGTACCCGCAATCTGCCGTCAGCCTGCTCTCTTGATTGTGGAAATCGGGGGCGTCGCAGACGACGTTGAGGATTTCTATCGGAATGTTGAGCAGGAAGAGTGCCTCGGCTGTATCGAGGAATCGTTGGTTCTTTACCAGAATTTGCTTCAGGAGATTCTCAGCTTCTGTCAGTGGCTTTGCTAATGGCTTCTGTTGGCTTACATTTTGGTCCTCTTGGTTCAGTGGTTGGTCTTCTGCAATCAGTTCATCAAAGTCAGATGGTTTATTGCAATTCAGACAGAGGGCAGTTACCATTGATTCAGATTTTTTTACTGACCTTTTACTGAATCTGAGACATTTGGTTGAGACTCATGTTCATCACTTCCGGCGTTGTTGGTGTCTTGATCCTCTTGCTTACCTATCTCCGTTGAGACTATGTTCTCAGAATAAATTGGGAGTTCTGGACCCCTGAGGCTTGCACCATCGTCACTTAGATCATCATGTAATTGGAAATACAAAGCTTCCCCAGTTTCAGTTTGTGGCTCTTTTGATGTGTATGCTTGCTGAATGCTAGCTGCAGGCTTTTCGGATTTGACTAGTTGAACTTTTGGATCTTTGAGCTTCCTTGATCTCTCCTTATTTGTTTCCTTTGCTGCACTCAGCTTTTTATCGACTCCCCTTTGCTTCTTTTGTGGGAATGTGGAGGAAGCCTGGCGTTTCATCAGGGGCGGCTTGGGTAACTTTTGTGAAGCTCCTCTCCTCTTGTCTGCTAGTTCATCAATCCTTCGGGCAGTTTCGACTTTCTGTGCTCTTGTGGGTGGAGTTTTCACCTCTGTGGCTGGTAGGCGAGCAATTTTCTCTTCCTTGCCAGATCCTGAAAAGGGAGTTCTTTTCTTTGTATTCGTAGTGTTATCTGATTTCTGATCTTTGGATGGAAAATTTTCATTCAAGTTTCTGCTTCTCGAATCCTGCTTGTGGACAATTGCAGTAGCTGAACTTCTGGCTGGTTCAAGATCTCCATTGGATGTATTATGTCCAACCCTTTTGGTTGTTGTATCTTCCGATTGTATGTGGCTTTTACCACGAGGAGCTGCTTGGATTCGCTGCGATGTTTCTTGCCTCTTCATTTGAGTCTTCTGTTGCTTCATGTCTTTTGAATCCAAATTCTTGGCCAAACTAGGCTGGTGCTGGTTTTGGCTCTCTTTCACTCGATTGCTTGAGATCTGCTTGTTTGCACCTCTCTTCTCCACCTTGAACTCTGTTTGAGCCGGCCAAGTAATAGCAGATTCAGAGCCTCTCACTGACTGTGGCACCATTACCAACTGGTATTGGTCATGTCGTGGGATCATGTCCTCAAAATCATCGACTTTCTGTCCCCGCTTGACCTCTGCATTGTTATATTTCTCTCCAATCTCCTTTACACTTCTGTTGAGTTGGCTTGATATATAGTTGCTTTGCTGCTTGTCTATTTTCATGTTAGCCATGTTCGACCCTCTCATTGGCTTTATCCCTTCGGCATCATTGTGGATTTTTCTTCTATCATTTTGTTCCGATTGCAGTGCAGATGTTTCTTCTTGCATCACCTGCTTTTGCTTCCTTCCTGGAGGTGGAGGAGGTACCAAATTCTCCACATCTTTTTTCTTCCGCCTATTCTCATTACCCTTCTCCGGAGAAGTCACAACTGACGCCACACTTTTCTTCATGGAACTCGCCTCTTTCTCCATAGTACCATCCACTACATCTTCATTTTCTGGAAGTTCTTCCATCCCCATCAATTTAGCAACTACGTTAGAGATCCTTTTCTTTTCTGGCTTGGGTTTTGATGCACTTGATTGATTCCTCGTTTCAGTAACTGTCGGATTCCTCACACTGGACACACGGCTGGATGATCGCTTGTGAGAAGGAATAGTGGAGTGGCCAACATCAGAAACCTTTTCAGGGTCCTCAGAAGCGTAAGGCAGCGCCATTAGCACCCTCTGTTTGAGATCACTTCTCGTAATTTCCTTGGTGTAGGTAGAAGGAGTCTTTGAAGGTCTTCTGTCAAATGAAAATCTTGGAAGAGCAATCTGCTTCATCTGAATTGCACCTTTGATGGCTTTCTCGTCTTCATCATCATCTTCTTCTTCACCCTCCTCATCAAGTAACTTGATCCGGCCTTTTCTCTGCGGAGTGACTGTGTAATCCGAGCCTTCTTGTAGGTTTACAAGCATCCTTAGTGATTCTTGCAAATCCATGGCTCCTTTCAGCAGCTCTTTCCCTATCTCAACTGAATAAGTATCGATGTTGTGGCCATTAGAGCAAGCTCTCAAGATCTGATTCAATCGTTGTGCCCCTTTGGAAATCTCTCGGATATGGTGATTAGATAGCGCTGGAAGATGGCTGGAAGAAGAGAAGTGGATGTCTATGTTACTTGCTTTCTGCATGTTTCCCCAGTCCACTGATCTTCTGCTAATTTGATGCAGGAAATTCAGCATTGACCTGCTCCCAGGTGCATCCATTCTCCCGAGTTTTGCTCCGTTCTCAATAGCAAAAGTTAGCGCCATGGTGAGATCTCCAACTTGTTGATGATGGTTTTGTTGTTGACCTCTCCTAACTGGAACAAGCTGCTTTGAATTGTTCTCCATTGAAATTGATCTGTTGCTTGAACTATGTCTATTGTGCCCAGCTGCAGTCCTGATGCCTGCCTGTGGAAATGGATTAAGAACAGCTCAAGTTTCAAGTGACTGAAGGTCGGTTTATTCTATATCTCAAACCACGTAAACAGCTTATAACTTACTGTCTGTTGAGTTCTCATGTCCCTGGAACTTCTAGATGTTGGTTTGGTGTATGCATATGAATCTGTTACAATAAACATGTGGCGGAATACTCATTAACAGAAACATAAAGGAACTGAATTTCCATTTTCGAATCGAAGGAACCAATTGTTGCTTACTTGAAGCAACTGGTCTTGAACCTCTGGAGTTCTGATGATGATGAGAGGCAGCCATCCGCTCCTTCCGGACTCGGAGATCATCCAACAGCTTCTGAGCAAAATCCGATCTCTTCGCCATGTTTTCGCTTCTCGACTGGAGAATGAGAGCTCCCCACAAGAATCTCAGACAGAAGGTATGCACATTTGGTCGCTTTTTCTGGGAATGTTTGTGTTACAGGGTAAGGTGTTATTTTTGGGTTCGCTGGTTTTTCTTGGTTACGGTTGGGATGGTTCTTTCGGAGTTGGGTGAGATGGGAGGTTGCATTCAAAACTTAACACAATGCAAAATGTTGAATGCAAAACATTGGATGTCCCGTTTTCTCTCTCTCTCTCACTTTAGAGGAGTGAGAGAGTTTCGTGACTTTGATTGCAAACCAAGCAAACAGTGGACAGACATACCTGAGAGAAAATCTATTCCAAAGTCCTTTTCTTTTGTGCTCATCTTTACATTCTTGGGTCTGGTTCAATATATCAACAGAAATTTAGAGTTCGGATCCTGTGTTGTGGGAAGGAGGACAAAATGCAGAATCCATATGCCTTATCTTAGGCTTAAGGTGGGTAACATGTAAAAAGACACGGAGAAGAATATGCAGATTTTTGGGTGAAGTAAAACTCTTTTGAGACCTTTTTGGCATACAATGCAACTGTTTTCTTCTTGGGTGTGTTCGGTTGAGTGACTAGTTTTCCCCTCCCACTAGAAGAGTTAATTATGGTTTAGTTGAGTGACTTCAAATTCTTGTTTTTCTCTGTGTCAGGTATCATGAACTGTGAGGTGAGAACTTCCTAGCTAGTCCATACCAAAGATTGTGAGATCTTATCGAAAGTATTAAAGTTTTACCTTAATCATGGATCAATCATTTCGTATCGTTAAAACGATCTATCGTTTGGAGTTCTGTACCCGTTTTTTTTATCCGACCGATTATAGGATATGGATTCTAAAACATTGGTCCAAATTGCTACTATCAAAGAACAGGACAATTGAACCGGCATTTAGTAGGGGCTATCCAACTTTGTATACATCGCTACTTGAAATGCATTTTCATATTGTGGGTTAGATATGAACTCAGATCATTTTTTTATGTTCAATTTTAGCAGCTTATTAATATTAGTGACCCGTGGCCGGCTTGATTAGGCGGAGATCTATGGCGGAGAATGCCAGCAAATTTCAAAGAGGTTAGTTCCACTAACACAATCTATTTTGTCGGTGTATTGAGAATTTGAGATCCAAGGTTCTGTTTATGGATCCGTATGGCTGTCAGAGGATCTTAATTCGGCTTTTGCTGATAGTTAATAGATTACTGCTAGTTATCCTCCTCAAAAATCATCTGCCATTTTAACAGTCATTCGAAGATTTTCAATATCGTCGATTGTTAAATGGTGTGTAATTTCCAAATTCCAAGTACATAAGGCTCTCGTATGATTGCCATAAATTTGAATATGTATCGGTTTAAACTCATCTTGTAAAACTTCTCGTGCCTAATAAGAGTTTTAGGGTTAAACTCATCATTATAAAAAATTTACCATTGGAATTGCATTTCGCTAATCTATTCTGTAGAGTGGTACAGTTTGAGAAGCTCTGGTTTGGATAATGATTCCAATCATCCCTCTATATTAAGACTTCTAAGACTCCCATCCTCCCACCTTTAAGGATCTTTCCTATCTTGATCTATATAGAAGACAGGTTCTCATATCAATTTAAAACTAAATTTGAATGATAGAAGTATGAAGTTAAGTGTGGTGTATCTAGACTCTAGTAGTGAAGTTTGTTAACACTATCTATCATGGAATGAAACCCAATTAAAAGGCCGTAAATGAATCGAGTGGAGCTGAGTTTTGATCTAAATTAATGGGTCGAGCCCTAGTAGTTTACTAAAACATTGACTTGTGTTTGACTTGACCCCGATTCATTAATGAGCTAACAGGCTCTGCTCGAGGTTGGCTCATCAATTAGCTCCGCATATCAGCTGGAGCCGAGGTATCATATATATCATTTATTTAATAATTTTTAATTGTTCATATCATGTTATTTAATAGCAATTAGTATCCGAGCAATCTATGATACATAATATATATGGAGACATATTTGATCACGTGCTGAAATTATTAAACATCAAATGTGATGATATATATATATATAATCTAACAAATCTTTGAATTATTAACAAGCGAATGGTAAGCTATTACCCAATTTGTTCATAAGTTGCTAGTTGATGTGGCTCGCTAGCTATACTATCGAGCTAGCTCGCGTGTTGAGCTCGACAAGCGCTATCAAATCGAGCTGACTCACAAGTCTTGCAGGCCGAACATGACTTAGCTCAAACTTGACTTGTAGTAAACGAGTGAGTGTGGACCGAATTTTTCTCAAACCAAACTCCGAACCACTCGTGAGCATATTGGCTCAACCCCCCAATGATTGCTTATGATGCATGAAGATGATGAGTTTTGTATTCCCTTGGGCTCTTGACTATTTGTTATTCAAAAAAGGCCTTGAGACTATTAGGGATGTTTTCTTTGACAATTCAGCCATAAAATAAAACAAACTCATAATGCGGTATGCCAAGGCAGGATAATTGCTTCAGCGTCAAGAAATTGTTATTGTATTTTACCATTAAATAACAAGCAGCACTAGTTTTCCTTGTGGTCGTGGAGAAGTATAATACCGAAAAGGAATTCGGAATATGCTAGGTCTCAATAAACCACAGCCGTTCGATTCGCATAGTAAAACAGCTGTTATCTCCAAGTACCGTCTAGATCGCACCACCGATCGGTCCCTCTAGTCTCAAACCATCGCAGCCGTTGGATAATATTTCGTTCTCCATTTAAATATATAGATAGTTTTTCGAATTTGAATCGGTTTCATTCATGTCTTCCAGTCGGCAAGTTTCTTCCTTATATAATATATGCCTCCCTAGGCGCCATCATTATTAAATCCCAGCCTCCAATCTTCCAGCTCCTTCTGAACATGTCCGAACCTCTGCATCGACTTCTCTGCAGATCTACCTCTTTGCTCCCGTTCGCGATTTGGACGGGAGGATTCGGCTTCGATGGTAGCTCTGTGGGCGATTTGCCCTCGATGCTTGGTTGCTCCCACGGATCCGCAGATATCGACCTCTTGAGTATCGTGTATCAGCTCTGCTTCTATGCCGGTATGTCTATTTTCTATGGAATTTTGATTTGTTTGTTTTTGGATATGTTTGATCTAGCTAGTTTGTTCTTTCGGGAAGTACGTCTCCTCTTATTTAGCCTGCTTGTATGGAGGTTTCGTTGCTTAATTTTGTGATAATGGATGATTCATAAGTCTGCCGCTCAGGTATTTTGCTGATGGGTTTAATTGGAGTGGCGTTTGCATGCTTGATACTGAATCGCACGCTAGTTTCGGTGTTAGGGTTTGTACTGTTGATTTGCGTTTGATCGATCAGTACTAGTTGTGAATTTTCTTCTTGATCTTGTATTTGGAGCTGGTTGGTTGTTTTGGAACGGTTTACAGAAGAGTTCCGTTGCTGCTGATATGGTTGTTGATGTCTTATCGTGCCTTCTTTTCATAGTGGTTGATTCTAGGGAGTTCGAGCTTGGAGGGAGACGATATGAACTTCGATCATGGTGAGATCAGGGTGTGTTCTTCAGCTAGCCGCCCGCCTGCTTATGATCTGATGATCGGTGACGAATTTTGCCAGCTAGAATTGAGCTAGCTGGAAGGGTTCGTGAAGGTTACTGTGCTGGAACACGGTTTGTGATTTTATTTATGTCTTCATTCAATCTGTCCATCGTGTTGCTCAGAAGACAATTAGGGGGTTCTTTTTTTAAGCGTTACTTTTGCCTGTGACGTTGTTTGTCAATCGACCTTTGCCATGTTGGGTGCGCTCGCATGGCAGGTCACTGATACCCTAATAAAAGAAGCATTTTTCGGGTTTGGAGGGGGGAGATGGCACAGGGGTATTCTTTCTTAGTGAAGTATTTTCGACCCCCGGCTCTCCCTCCTCCATGTGGGTGTGGGTGTGTTGTTGTGCTCCTCTTTCCCCCTTTTCCTTCATTTCCATTCAATAGTTACTCACTGCAAGGCAACCGGGACAGAACATGCATACAGGGAACCAGAATAACCTTCACAGGTACAAATTTCCTTGTTCCTGCTGCTTAATTCCACGATCTTATACATAGATAGGTATTTGATCATCTATTTTCAATCTGCATCCGTGAGAAGTACATTTGCAGCAGTAATCAACTCAGCCAGATGTTTAAGTTAACGAATACCTGCCCCTAATTGACAGGTCTGTTGGTTATTCTACCTGAAACTGTCTTTTGGGCACAGTTCATATAGTTGCACTAGTGAAATCTATCTACCATCTCAGGACTTGCCTAAAGAAGTGAATCTTATTGAATTAGTTTGGGGAAAATCCAACTCTAATCATAACCGAGAAAGATAATACAGCTGCATCTCGTAAGCATTATGAGTTACATGGTTGTATCATTTTCTCTGTTGCCATTCAAATCAAAGTTCACACGATAAATGGACCGCCCCATACTCGACACCTATTGGTTTGATACAGCTAATGTTCATGGCAGCATTCGCTTTTTGTCTCTGTCTGTCTTAAAAGAATTTTCCATCTTTATTTGATTGGATGTGTATTACTTTGTCAGTATTGCTTGAACTGCATCTGTTTGTATTGCGGCAGCAGCTGTTGGCTGCTTAGTAAGGGCATGTATTTTCGTAGTACTGTTAAAGCTATTCCATTTGTGCTGTACTTGTGCCCATTAAGGCCAGTTGAAAATAGGTTGTAAAACGTGAAGATGGTATTGAGCTTCTTCATCAAGGGGGTTACTTGGGTAAGGTTGATGAAGTGTGGCTATCTCAAAGGTGGAGATGCTGTATCTGGTTTGCTGGAGCTGTGGTGGAGAACTTTGTATGAGAGCTGCTGTTCCTGTTCAATTGGGTGAGTGTTCTCCATTGTTGTCTGGCCTTGTCATCTGTCGCAGTGTCTTCCAGAAGCGTTCACTTATCTTTTATAATAAATTCTATTGCAGAGCAGGCAACATATGGTTGTCTGTAAATGATTCCTGCGACCGAATGTTAGATTTGAGGCACGGAGCATGGAGGGAGAAAAGTGCCCTACCAAAAAAGCAACAGACATGGTCTTGTGGTGATAGTTTTGAGTTCTTGCGTCAAGTGCTTCAATAACACGATCTGCATTGGTGATTGAGGCTGGCGTCCCAAGGGTTTCATGGCATCTTTTGCATCAATGAGTATACAATTTCTTTTCCCCAACTTCCCCTCATCGGCTCTTGCTATTTATTCGCTTCAGTTTGCTGAAATATTATTTGCTTTGGATTTGGATTTGAGATCGCATGTTTGAGTTTGAATCAAGTGATCCAGTTCTAGGAGCAGTCATCCGTTTGTTGATGGTTTCCAGTACGTTGCTAGGGTATCCATGTTTGTGCTATTCAGGCCCTCATGGTAATAGGAATGTGGCTGGTTTGGTTCAAATTGTACCGAGCTGCAAACCACCCATTATTCTGTACAGCAGGCCACACTTGGAGTCAAATTTGCGGGTTTTTGCTTGTACGTTGGGTAATAGGTGTAGTTTTACTGGACTAAGCTGCAATGGAATTGAACCATGAAATGGGAACCAATTCAGTGCGGTCAAGATAACCACTATCCAGCACCTGAACAATGGTTAGAATGGTTGCGGTTCAGCTCGGTTATACGTGATTGGTTGCCCCTCCCTACGCCATAATTATGGCCTGCTATGCCTATTTTGGTGTAGTTTTTTCAAGGTATATAAATCGTCTGTGGTGGATCTATCAGCTCAAAGTGGTTAGAGCACCTTAGGCCGTTGGGCTTGAGGAGGATGGTGGTTCGAATCCATCTGGATCCGTTTTCATATTTGGTATTGGCAATCCACTGCTAGTTCTAAACACTGGAGCTTTAAAATAATTGATTGGTTGGTGGTGCGTTTTTTTAATTTTATTATTTGACAGGTAATATCAACTGATTCCACAACGTTTCAGTTAGCTTTCAGAATGGAACGGCGAGACTCTGTATTGAAATGGCGGCGACCTCAACGTTTCAGTTAGATTTCAGAATCAGGCCGACAGGTGGGGCAGCCATGACTCTGTCAGTGGATTATCTCCTCTTTCATTTAATCAAATGCTATTGTTAACTTATACAGTTCACACTCTTTGGCGGAAAAAATCCCAAAGTACACTAGTTCTTAAAAAAAAATTCCCAAAATACATAAGTTATAAAAAAAATTTCCAAAGTACACATGTTTGAGCATCACCGTGTTAGACAAAGGCGGTGAAGGTCATCACCGCGTTTGACGAAGACTATGAGTAGGGGTGTGCAATGGTCCGGTCCGTACCGGACCACACCGGACCAAACCGTTGTTAAGACCGGACCGGACCAGACCGAGTAAAATACGGTCCGGTCCTTGGTCCTAATGAATTTTATAATTACTGAAGAAATGGTGGACCGAGCTCATATTTGGACCGGACCGAACCGGACCAAATGGACCGAATGCAAGAATGGTCCGGTCCTTGGTCCTAACATGTCTTTCACTAATGGACCGCGGTTCTCATGAGTTTGGTCCGGTCCGGACCGAACCGAACCGTTGCACACCCCTAACTATGAGTACTTCACCGTTTTAAACTAAAACGGTGATGTATTCACCGTTTCAAACTAAAACGGTGAAGGGTTCACCGCGTTTGTTAAAAACGGTGAACACCTCACCGTCTTAAACAAAAACGGTGAAGCCTTCACCGTTTTTGCTGGACACGGTGAAGTGGCTGACGTGGACAGCACGGGTATTCACCGCGTTAGACAAACACGGTGAATACCCCGTGTTTGTTTGCGTCAGCGATCCGCGTCAGTGTGCTTTCACCGTGGCCGTCAGATGCGGTGACGCGGATTGTGGTTTTCTTCCCACGATCCGACGCCTCACAACACGCCACGTCAGCTCTGCCTTCACCGCGTTTGGTTAAAGCGATGAGTTCACCGCGTTCATCAAACGCGGTGAATGTTCCCCTAATAACTGCGCAGCAGCTCCTCCCCCCTTCCCCCAAACTATAAATACCCCCTTCCCCTTTCACTTTCAACTCACCCCACAAACATTTCACTTCTTTCTCCCTCAATTTATCCGCTCTAGTCTCGTTCTAAGTATGCTCTGTGGTTGCGGCTAAGTCCGATCTTCCACATCAGAAAGAATTACTAGAGTTTGACCCTAAAGCCCCCGTCCCGCTAAGTTCTCGTCCCTTACAAATCTAAACCCGTCGAACCTCTGTCCGGCTTCCGCCAATAATGGACGAAGAGGCTCTTCGTGTAGGTTTTTGGTTTGTGATTTTTTTTAATCGAAACAATTTGATTTTTCTTTTATCAAAACAATCTCTGATTTCATTACTTTTTTATAGATGGGTGCCGAGATATACGATCCTCGATTGTATATCCATTATGGCCCAAGGGATGCGAGTCTCTTAACCGATCAAGAAATGCATCGCTCCCGTGCCATTTGGGATAACAATCCGGTAATATGATGAACTGACTTGCTTTATTTTATTATTTTCTAATGTTTTATTTTGCTTTATTTAATCTAATAAATTGATGTTTTTCCTATTTTTTTTAGGAATCTCTTGTTCCCGTGGTTCATAAAGGGACCAATAACTTGCCCGCTTGGCATCCAAGGTTGGAGCCCTATATAGCGAGGACCGGTTTGGGAATGTTGCGCCATTTCTTGCGGATCGAGATCGACAACGAGCTGCTTACGGCAATGACAGAACGATGGCGTCCCGAAACCCATACATTCCACCTTCCGGAGGGGGAAATGACGATCACCCTCAAAGACGTGGCGATCCTCACCGGGCTTTCTATATCTGGAGATGCCATCATTGGTTCCACGACCAAACCCGGAGGAGGTTGGGGGCCGCTCATCCGTGATCGTTTGGGCTTCGACATGCCGACCACCACACCAAATCAAGGACGGGGGCATCCACCGTTGAATGCGGGGCAAGTGTCGGTCCCGTGGCTGGTATCTCACATCCAGCAAGAGGTGGAAATCAATGACGAGACACCGGAAGAACAAGTCGAGCGCTACGCCCGCATCTACCTCATCGGTTTGGTGGGTGGATTTTTGTTCCCGGACAAGTCCAACCGGTGGATTCAAGGCATATGGTTGCCATTGCTCACCGGTGACTGAGATGCAATTGGAGAGAAGAGTTGGGGATCGGCCGTGCTAGCGGGCGTATACCGGGAGCTGTGTACTTGCTCGAAGGTTGGGGCAAAGCAAGCTGGTGCTGCGATGTTCATCGTTCAACTGTGGGTATGGGAGCATCTTCCAATGTTCGCACCTCTCGACCCACGTCCATACCAGAGAAACGATGATGAGCTCAACCTTCTGCAAAATCTCCCCTACGGTGTCAAGTAAGTTTATTTCGTACTTAGCCCATTTTAAATTTTATTACATGCTTGAGCTAGATTTAAATTGAATTTATTCCGTACTTAGCCCAATTTAAATTTTATTACATGCTTGAGCTAGATTTAAATTGAATTTATTCCGTACTTAGCCCAATTTAAATTTTATTACATGCTTGAGCTAGATTTAAATTGAATTTATTCCGTACTTAGCCCAATTTAACTTTTGATTACATGCTTCAGCTAGATTTAAATTGAATTTATTCCGTACTTAGCCCAATTTAAATTTTATTACATGCTTGAGCTAGATTTAAATTGAATTTATTCCGTACTTAGCCCAATTTAAATTTTATTACATGCTTGAGCTAGATTTAAATTGAATTTATTCCGTACTTAGCCCAATTTAACTTTTGATTACATGCTTCAGCTAGATTTAAATTGAATTTATTCCGTACTTAGCCCAATTTAATTTTTATTACATGCTTAACTAGATTTAAATTGAATTTAAATTGATTCCGTACTTTTACTTACAAGGTGGATAGGAGCAAATACGAATGACCATCAGCCTGAGCATTCGTTACTGTTTTATCGTTCTGAGTTAGATAAACCATGGTGGAATCAGGTAATCATGTTTTGTCCATATTTGAACAAGATCAATTTTATCAAAGTAAATGGTCGTTAATTCCGAATTTTTGTGATTTTAGGTTATATGGGATCCATATCCACGTGAAGTGGTTGAGCTGCATCATCTTAGGCACCCTCTGGATCACGAGACGTGGTTGTGCAAGGTGCCATTGATCTGTTGGCACATTGTGGAATGGCACCTACCCGATCGATCCCTGAGGCAATATCGAATGGAGCAACCAATTCCACAAGACTCGCCAGCAGGTTTCAGGGAGCTACATGCTATGGACCTCCGAAACAATGCAAACTGGACGCTAAAGCATGGATTCTACATCAACATCTGGGAGAATCGATCCCAATGGGTGGTGCAAGGGATGCCGGAGACAAGACCGATGGGTTACCACGATGGGTACATGCAGTGGTATCGGAAGTTCACCCTGAGATGGGTGTCAAAGCAAGGTGCTGTGATGGGTTCGGTGGTAAGTCATCCTAATCTCCCTCATTCTAAAATATATTTATTTTAAGGTTTAGTTAATTTGATATATTTTGTGCTTTCTTTAGGTTGATGGTTTGGAACACGCGAAGTACACTCTCGAAAGTGCTCCAACCATGGATGAGCGGAAGACTACTTGGTTGACCCGACTTATGAATAACCTCCTGAGTTGCACCAGAGAGCAAAGGAGGGATGTCGTGGCCTATCCTCCCGTTCCTGCCCCGGCACGACCCTCATTCCGTGATGATGCAGCCATTGTGCCCCCGGTTGAGCCCCCACGAAGGAGCAAACGCAGGCCTCTGCCTACGTTCGATGAGGTGCGTACAACTCAAGAAACCGAGATCCCTGAACCGTTCGAGTACCAGTGGGCACCTACAGCGGAAGCCGGTGGAGGGTCATCGAGTCGTGGAGCATCTCAGGAGTGGGACACTTTCTCTCATGGGTTCTCTCAATTCCAACATCAGCAACAGAGTTCGATGTATCAGACCCCGCAACAACAAACTCCGCAACCTCCGATCATTCGCCAAGCTACCGCTCCATCTCAGCCACCACCACCGCCATATGTAACCCGAGTTGGGGCTCGGGTCAAGAGAAATCCGCGACCAGCCGTTGAGCGAGCCCGCCAAGAAGCAGCGCCGGAGGGGGGAAGAAGGGGTCGAGGACGTCGTGGAGGACGAGGAGGAAGAGGTGGAGATGGGGGCCAAAATGAAGCAAATGAGTGAATTTATCGTTTTATCTTGCAGTAGTGATCTATCCATGTTGTTTTGGTGCTTTTTAGGTGTTGTTATTTGGGTTTGCATTGTCTAAAAACTATCCTACGCACTTAAGTTGTCGAATGAATTTTCTGGATCATTTTATCAAGAATCAGTATCTTCCCTCAACACAAAAAAAGTTGGGAAAATCAACCACGATCGCATAGAATTTTACAGATCCCAATTCCGAGTCCAAACGAGTGAGATAAGTGACGTCAAAGCGCGATCGTATCGTTAAAGTAACTTTTGCGTACTAAAAACTAAAACGCGCGTATCTTATTCGTTTGAGGTCGAAATAACGAGCCGTTTGCGGCAGCGCGATCGTAACGACAAGGAAAACATTTTAGAGTTAACAAAATACTTGGACTTCAAATGCAAACGGTAATGAAAATTTAAACAAGCGATCAATTTAGTAGCAGAATACAAGTAAATGCAAATTAAGTTGATGGTTGTCCTGGGCAACGCCTCTTGTCGTGACCAGGTTGTCTGCACTTAGAGCATCGCTTCGGTCCCCTTCTCGTCCGTTCAACTTGATCCATCTCATTGTGTATCCTTTCAACTCTAGGACGGCCTTTGGTGCGTTTTAGGTGCAACGGTGGGATAATCAACTTTCCAGCGTATATAGGCCAATACGCTTCATCTGGGATGGGGCTCAAAGCTGCATTATATGAGTTCCGTATCGCTTGTTCAGTGTAGTAAGGACTCACCAGGCTGTTTCTGTTCATGGTTATTGACTTAGCAACCGCCATTGCATGTGAACAGGGTATCCTTTCGTTCTGATACTTTTGACAAGAACACTCCCCTAATTCGTAGTGCAATTTGACCGTTTGACGATTGTGACCACGTCTCCCTCCACCCCATAGACCTGTTTCGACAGCGAATATTCCTTCACTGCGGTTAAAAAGAACAACCTTATGCTTACTTGATTTTTCATCGTTCTTCTGCATTTGAGCGAATACGTCATGTGCTACTGAATGACCTTGAAACTCCCTCCCTATAGCTAGCTGTAGCCGAGCAACTCGCCACTCGTTGACCTTCCAATAAGACATTTCCACGATGACAGAAATAGGCATCGCTCGAAGACCCTTGTACACATTATTTATACTTTCTCCATGGTTGGTAGTTTCAATGCCCCATCTGGCCCCGTTGTCCATATGGAACGTCCACATGGGCAACTCTTGACCTTCAGCCCATACTGCTCCAGCTCGGTGGGTCTGACGGATCGTTTTCATGATCTGCTCGTACTTTTTTGGTTGATGTGCAACCGCTAAAAGGTGAACAAAAGACTAACTGGTCAATACATGATGAATAACATCAGCTTATCAGCTTAATAAACACAAACTTATATCGCATAAGTACAACATTAGTACCTGCATTCCAAAGTAGATTTTTTATGTCTTTCTTCTTCCCAAATTTGTGTTGGAAATTGGCGAGCCAATGTCGAATACACCATCTCCATCTCCACCCCCACTCGTCGGGAAAACCACCAACAGCATTCCTTATCCCCGCATGTCGATCGGATATAATCGTAATATCTTCCCGCTGTGTCACGTGTTCGTGCAGTTGGTCAAAGAACCAAGCCCAACTTAAGCTGTTCTCCCCTTCCACTAATGCAAATGCAAGCGGGAAAATCCGCCTGTTTCCATCAACGCCAGTGGCAATTAGAAGACATCCTCTGTACTTCCCAGTAAGGAAAGTTCCGTCAACCTGAATAAAAATTTAGAATATAATTAGTATGAAATATACTTAACAGCAAAGAATACAACATTTAAAACCGGAACTAGTTGGTAAAATACCTGAATAACCGGTATGCAGAACCCAAAACCGTCAATGCATGGTTTAAAAGCCCAAAAAAGACGATGGAACATCGGCTTATCCTGTACTCGAACTTGATCCTCAGTGTATACATTGTTGTATACTGGGACGAAAACAGTCCCAGGATTGGACTCCTCCATTGCTCCCATAAGTCTAGGGAGTAAAGCATACGAATCCTCCCAATCACCATACACCTCAGCCATGACTTTCTGCTTACCATGCCATGCTTTTTTGTACCTTATCGTGTAAGAATGTCGATCCTTCACCTCTGCCATGATAGCTTTCACCTTGATATCTGGTTGTGCTTCTATAAGGTGCTTAATAGTTCTCCCAACCTTCTTTGCTTTTAGTTGCCTGTGATCTTGGGAAAGTATAGAAGAGGAGCATGTGTGGATCGTCTCAGCTGTGTGAATCACCCAAGCACCCTTTCTCTTCATATTTGCAGCCCGCAGTTGCCACGTACAACCCTCTGCATCATGCTTGCATATGACATGTAGTTGTTTACTGTCAGAATATTTTACCTTCCACTCGAAATTGCGCCTCAACGCCTCTTCTGTAAAAGCATCCTGCACAGCGTCTTTCGATGTGAACGCCATACCCACCTCCAAATTGGCCGTCGGATTGTACACTGGCATAGGGACAAAGTCGGGGGGGATCATTCTGACTATGTAAAAATTGAGTTGGAACCTTTGTGTAATATGGCGTGGGTGCCTCACGAAATGCCGCCTCATCCTCGTTATCATCGGTATCTTCCTCCTCCTCGCTCACTGATATCAAATCTTCCTCAGTATCCTCGTCGCTGGACTCGAATGGATAGCTCGGGCTAGAAGGATCAACATGACCACGATCACCAACATCGTCCTCTCGCTCATGTGAAGTACGCCCTGATCGAATGGTATTCTCGATTCCATACCACTCTGGCCCCCAAGCAGGCCATTGAACACCATCGGCCTCAACAAATGGGGCTGGTTTAGGAGGTTGCGAGTATTGGTCCCATCCTGCACTACTCGATCCACCGTAGTTGATTGAACCACCACCCTCCCCGTAACCTCCTGTATAACCACCGCCTTGGTAGTTGCTCGAACTACCACCCCATTCGTACCCTCCTGCAAAACCATCATCATAAGAATACTGGTGAGAATGAGATTCACCGAGCGCCTCGGTCTCAACATACACCTCTGCAAGCCAGACTTGGTTATCGCTTAGGAACTGTAACATCATCACCACCGCGTCATCATCGTTTATGACAACTTCTTGGAACACGACCCCGCCAGCACTCATGTCTGGATACCGGTAAGTAATTTTACCAAGTCTCGTCTGTCCGCTCGTACAAACCCTTTCTGCACAAAGATCACAGAGTTCTTGAAAATTGAATCGGGATTCAATTTTCAGCATAATGGATTCGCCGTCCTCATAATCAATGCCTATGTCAGAGTTTGTCACCCTTCCATTCCACCGAATAGTAAGATGAAACTTCTTGAATTTACCCATATCTACAATTTACAATAAGTATCTATTAGCTTAAAGACAGTAAAATTAACCAAAATCATATTGTACAACTAATATTAAATCATACCATAACTAACGAAAATAAATTCAACTAACTAACAACAACATAATACGAAAATTAAATCATACTATAACTAACGAACATAAGTTCAACTAACTAACAACAACATAATACGAAAATTAAATCATACTATAACTACTAAAAACATAATTAGACTATAATACGAAAAGTCTCAACATACCGAAAAATTTCTGTTCTGTGTATTATGCTCGATTTTGGCTGCTGAAATTTGAAGAAAGGGGAGTGGTTATGTTTTTACAATTGCTGCTGGTGTGCTATTTATAGGAAAATCTGCCTACTATTCACCGTTTTTGTCGAAAACGGTGAACACCATCACCGCGTTTGTCTCAAACGGTGAATAGGTGGTAGCTGCGACCTAATTTTGACCTACCAGGGGTGGGAAACGTGGGAAATGATCACCGTTTTTGACCAAAACGGTGAGGCGTTCACCGTTCTTGACAAACGCGGTGAACCCTTCACCGTTTTAGTTTGAAACGGTGAATACATCACCGTTTTAGTTTGAAACGGTGAATACATCACCGTTTTAGTTTAAAACGGTGAAGTATTCACCGTGTTCTTCAAACGCGGTGATGACCTTCACCGCCTTTGTCTAAAACGGTGATGGTCAAACATGTGTACTTTGGGAAATTTTTTTATAACTCATGTATTTTGGGAATTTTTTTAAGAACGTGTGTACAGTGGGATTTTTTCCCTCTTTGGCTCTACCTCTAAATTGTCCAGTAATAGGTCTTTCATAAAGAGATTGGTCTATACAGTAACGACATTGTGCTCAGTGTGGGGGTGTTTGGCCACAAGATTGGGGAAGGGTGTGGAATGTAAAATAGTTGATGCGCTATCTGATCGAGACCTAAATGTTGCGGGTTCGATTGAAATGGAAGCTATGATGCTCTGCTTGGCAACCTATGCAGCCTGCAGGTGGGGGAAACTAGTAATCAGGATATAGTGGCTACTAGTACTTTGGCGATTACTCAATCGCAGACTCCACCTCATAATGTGGCTCAACGACAGGAGAATGTATCGACAGGAGAATGGAGTAAGGTAGTAGTTAATCAAGAGGGGTTTCAGCTTGTAACTCGAAAGGTTTGACAGTCAGGGGTTGGTGGAGGAAGTGAACCACGGGTTCCTCAGTCAACAGTAGCGGCGAGGGTTCCTCTTAATGCTAAGGGTTGCAACTTAATCTCCTCTAAGTTGCAATCAATGCTTGACCCTTAGCATTAAGAGGATTCGCAAAGTTGAGAATGCTTTTGTGGAGGGGTGAATTCGCATTATCAAGGATCATCTGTTTTCCAGATCGGCGATTGTTAATTTAGTCGAGAGCTGAACCACTTGGATCCCCTTTTGTTGTATTTTTTTGTTGTTTGGCGCTGGGCGTTTTTTCCCCAGTGCTGGGCATTGTTTATGTTATCTTCTTGTTTTGGAGCTTGCTCCAGCTTTTCTTCTCTCAATTATTAATCTTATTTCACCATTATAAAAAAATGATGTAGATGGAGATATTGAGTTGGAATCTCGATTCTCGAGGGGTTCAATGGCCATGAGAAGCATAGATATATAAATAGAAAGTTAAATAAACATAAGAGTAGATATTGTTGCATCCATGGACGAAGGCATGTGAGATCATGAAGTGTTGGTTTTTATTTCATGTGGAAGAAGGTAGAGATTTGGAAATTATATAATAGTTTGTACCTTGTGGTTAATC